TTACTCCAGATTTCGTAATAAAGGGAGGGGGGTCTCGTTTCGGGGGTGGGTCTCTTCAAGGCTATCTTGGAGGGCTTGGGGGGGTCTGGGGACGATGTTTTGGAGGGTTCTCCCACGGGGGAGGTCTGAAATGGCTTGTCTTGGAGGGTCCAGACCCCCTCCCTTTTATTACGACATCTGGAGTATATGTGTGTATTTATTTGTGTGTCCCGGGGCCCCTTCACGGACGTCGGCTCGCCCCGGGGAGGCTCGCGGCGCGACCTGGCAGGGGCACGCCGGCGAGAGGGCGCGCTCCCGCCGCAGGTCGCGCCTCGCCACGGCTTCTGTCGAAGACGCCGCCCGCCGGCGCCCCTCCGAATGCATCTGCCACCACCCACCAAACCACCCCAACCCAACCTCGGGCCGGGCGAAAGGGGGGGATTGGGAAAGGGGGGATTACGGAATTTGCTGCATGCAGCTGGTTTCGGCTTCACCGAGGGGCCCATTCCTCGATACGTGGGCGCCTCCCGGCACCGGGAGGCGCCGGGAAAATCAGCTACGTGAGCTGATTCTCAAACCCCCCCTTGGCTATCCCCCCCTTTCGCCCGACCCGACAAACCACCCCAACCCAACCCGAAGGCTCAGATTTGCCCTCGATTTCCAGTGGGTGGGGGGGTCGGGAAACATCGAAAAAACAAATGCGGAACTCTTACCCTCCCCCCAACCCGAAATTCGGGTCTTCGGGTTGGGTTGGGGTGGTCTGGTAGGTAGTCAATCTGGCCCGCCGAGGCGGCCGTGCTGCCCGTCCCAGGCCCCCAGAGGTCCTGCAAGGATGGCTGGCGGGGCAGCGCGGGGCAGAAGAGCAGCTTCGCTCGGAACGCGGTGTCCGCGGCCTCCTCCTCCTCTTCCTCCTCCTCCTCCTCCTCCTCCTCCTCCTCAGCAGGATGCCGCGGCGACCCCCCCCCCCCTCGCTGCCCTGCCGCCCGCTGCTGACGTTGCCGCTCCCCCCCCCCCCCCTTCCCGAACACCACCCCCGCGCAGGCGGCCCCCCCCGGGCCAGTCTGCGGCCGCGCTGGATTCTGGAGAGCATCGCTCGCCGTCGCTTCGGAGGCGCGCCCCTGGAGCTCCTCCTCCTCCTCCTCCTCCTCCTCCTCCTCCTCCTCCTCCTCCTCCTCCTCCTCCTCCTCCTCCTCCTCCTCCCTGGAGCGCTCCTTCCAATCCAATTCGAAAGGCACCCCCATCGGCCCAGCCGAGTGGGGATGTCGCCCCGCCAGCCCCGCCGGCCGGGGAACCGGCTGCTCCTTTTAGTCCGAGCGATGTCGTGATGAATGTTGGCATCGAAATGGAGGCTGGCGTAGAGATTCCCGCAGAAGAGATCAAGGCCAAGCTGCGCTTTCACATGCTGAGCCCCCGAGATCCCGCATGGTTGCGCAGGGTCGACCCTCCACGATGGATGGGGCACGTCCGTAGGCGATCGGTTCTCCCCGCCGTCCTTCGCGCGCCTCGCGATGCATCGGGGGCCAACCCCGACGAGCGCGCATCGTCTGCGGCGAGCCAAGCTGCTCTACAGTCGGGGCGCCGAAGAAGGAAACCTTCTCGTTGGGGAGGGGCTCGGTGTTCCTCGATTGCTTCACAGTTTTCCTTGGGTTGCCCTGATGTTTCCCATGGAGAATCGAAGTTTAACGTATGAGAAAAAGGGACCTCGTTCCTTATTTAGGGTTCCTTAGGTCAACGCCCCGACTGTATCGCATGTGCCGATGTCGCTTCGGCCGCCCTCCGCTTCTCCAATTGATCTGGTGCACACTTGGCCGTGCGGCGGCCTTGCTCCTGCTGCCCAACGCTTCGCGTCCCCAGTCGCCGCTGGCAGAAGATGACGGCATCGCGATACTGCTGGTCAACCTCTTCGAACGCTTGATCCGCCCTCATCGTCAGGCGTGTCGATTGTTCTTCGGCGGACCCTCCCCGCGAAGCTCTGAGGATTGAACGCGACCGCCGAGGAATTGGATTGCGAAGAGGGCTACGCCAAGGAACCTCGTTTCAAGATCCCTGCACCGCCCAAGCCTGGCGTGGCGAGGCTGCACTGGGGTGCGACTCGCAGGCGCACCGCATCAGAACGCATAGCCACGTTCGCGCGCAAGGCACCCCAGGCCACACGGGCTGGAGATGCCCAGCGCTGAGGACTGTCTTCGATTGGCAACGTGTACTCTGAACTTTCCAGGGGCCCGCCTAGGTACCTTTGCCCGCCCGTCCGCGACGTTCAGCCAAAGTGAGCCACGGCCTCCCCAACTGGCGACCGGCTTACGGCCGGTCGGAATCAGATTCGCGCTCTCGCCGTCACTTCTCGGGGTGGCAGCTTCTGTCCCCGCTCGTTCGCGCCTCTAGTCTCCCTGATCGTTGCAACAGACTCCGTGCGCGTGTAGTGTCTCGCGCACCACATTCCTCGATACCCCCAACCAGTCGTGAAGCTCGCACTGCTTGACAGTGGCTCCTACGCCCGTTCGCGATGGCGCTCTCTCGGCCAGCGTCGACGTCCTTGGCGACGCTACTCGATGTCTTCATCGCTAGGCTGGCATGGCCGATCGCCGCCGCGTTTGGCTGACCGCTCTAACAGTGGGGGGGGCGGCTCGAGAATCGTTAGCGCTGAAGGGGGACAGCCGATTTGGAAATTCATCGATGCAGACTCCAGCCGACACTCAGGATGGCGATGCGTCATGTTACGCGCTGGCTCTCAGGCCAAGCAGGCGCCAGGGATCGCGCTGGAGCACACCCAAGCAGGCCCGCTCGCTCTGGGCATCTCAGGCAGATGCGCCGACCTAGCGCACGCCCCTCCCGCCCTCATCGGCCGGCGGTTGGGCCAAGGCTGCCATGCCCGGGGCGGCGCGGCGCCCCTCCTACTGGCGCTCCCGCGGCAGCCCATCAGGCTGCAGCCTCGCGGCGTCGTGGGGCCCTCTTCTCTCAAGCATCCGTACGGCGCCTGACGACACCGTGTTGCCGGGCATCGGTGCCACAGGCGTGCGCTCCACGTGCTCGTCGCTTCGTCTGCCAACTGAGACGCTTCGGCGCGGGCGGAGCACTACAAACCTTCGTATATTAAACTAGTTTAGCGCCACCGAAACCATAAACCAGAGTAACATACATACGATTCGCGGTCCGGATGCCATAAACCCTGAAACATTATACCGTACTCCCATATCCGAAGCCGTCCACCCTTGCAGCATACATAACACTTGCGTGCCCGAGGCCGTGTACCTTCACGTCGGCGTCCAGACATTCCGGTCTCTGCCGCCTTGGCTCGGCACTCGGCACGGGCGAGGGCATCGAGCGTGAGGGCGAGGGTCGGGGGTGGACAGACCTCCTGCCCCGACACGTCGATGGAGGAATGGGCCGTTTGCGGTTCACAAGGGGGCGCCGCGGCCGCCATTATTTGCGGGCCGTTCTCACTGAGGGCAGGTCTACATTCGGGGCCCTGAAGAAGGAACCCTTTTGGTTGGGGAGGGGCTCCGCGTTCCTTGAGTGTTTCGCAGCTTGCCTCCAGTTTTCCTTTCTCTTTTCCATCGGACATCGAAGTTTCACTGCTGGACAGAAAGGGGCCTCGTTCCTCATTTATCGCTCCTTAGGTCAACTCCCCGACTGCAAGGGGAGGTCTACTAAAGGAAGGTTTGTCCACCGCCGAGAGGGGGCCGGGCGGCCTCGCGCTGCCCAAGGGGTGCGCGGCCGCCGTGGCCCCCCGCGGTGCGGGCCGTCGCCGCGCCTGCCGAGCCGGGCCCCCCCCCCCGCGCGGCCCGCCCCGCCGCCCGCCCCGCGGCTCGCCCCTGCGGCCTTACATCTGGGAAGCGCAAGACCCGAGTGGGCCGGAACTCGGGTTGGCTTATTCCAGATTTCGTAATAAAGGGAGGGGGGTCTCATTTCGGGGGGGGGTCTCTTCCAGGCTATCTTGGAGGGCCTGGGGGGGTCTGGGGACGATGTGTTGGAGGGTTCTCCCACGGGGGGGGGTCTAAAACTTTTCGTCTGGGAGGGTTGAGACCCCCTCCCTTTTATTACGAAATCTGGAGTACTTTTTTTGACGAGCGCGTCCTGGGTTTTGACGGTCCAGTGTTCGTGGGATGTCTGCAGCGGGAGCTCGCGTCAAATTTCGGATTGGGCCTCGTCTTTTTTATGAGGGCCCCGTCGGGCCAACCCGAGTCCCCCGTACCCGAGTCTTACGTCTCCCCAATTAAAACGACGCGAAGATCGGGACAAAATCAGATCGGGATGACTCGAAATCTCTGAGAATCGGCGGGTTTGGAGGATGTGCTGGGCGCCGCGGCCGCTCCAGAGCGTTCCGGAACGCTCTGAGAGAGCGCTCCGGAGCGCTCTGGGAGCGAGTTATCCCGATCCTAGCCCTGTCTTAGGCCTGCCCTGCGACCTCCCCGCGCAGCCCCCCGCGGCCCACCTGCGCGATGCGCCGGGCGACCCGCCGAAGGCCCCTCCGCAATCGGAGGCGACGAGGGGGGCGAGTATAGCCCAGGGGGGAGCAGTGCCCGTATCCGGGGGCGCCGACGGTCCATGCCCTCGGCGAGGCTCCCGGGCGGATGCGTGTGCAGCGCCCGCCCCTGCGCTGTTCGCCCCTTGTTGTCACCGCCGACGCGAACCAAGCATCTTGTTTAAACGAGTCGGCGCCTGCGGCGGGCTGTTCCAACGGATCGGCGCCTTCGGCGGCCTTCTTCACATCTGCTGCCGAGCCTCGCAAACTCCTGATGCCCCCCCTGCACCCTTCCTCCTGTCCGCAACTGCAAGGGGGGTGGGGCGGCCCTGGTTTTCGGTCAGCACAGCGGCCGGCCATCAGAGCTTCCGCACACTCCTCGCCGTCTCCCTCCTGCCCCCTTCTTCCTGGGCCCTCCCTTCGCACGCACCTCCAGATGCTCGCTCTGGCCCTCCGAGGGTGGACCGGCGAAGTGCCGCCTCGATCTTTCTGGATGCCCGTCCGCGGTCTTTGCCCCGAGCACTGCTCTCTGGGTCGAGTTGTTTGCTGGCTTCCTGAGGTCCCTCGCCACCGAGCCCGGGGTGGCGTCGCCAGACGGCGAAGAGGGGCTGGAGGCCGAGGAGGAGCCCGAGGGCGGGGAGCACCCGCTGCCCCCGGTCGCACGAGCCCCCGCCCGCCTCGCGGAGGTTGTGTGTGGTGCAGCTCGCCCACCGTCTCCGCTCGCCTGGAAGCCTTCGTTCCGCACTGGATCGGTCTGCCGTTACGGGTTCGGGGGTGGACAGAGCCCCCACCGCCCTGACACGTCGATTTGTGAATTGTCCGTGTTCGGTTCTCGAGAGGCGCCGCGGCCGTCGGTTCCAGGCTTGCGTCCGCCGGGTTTGGGCCCGAGGTCGTCAAAGGGGGTTCTGTCCATCCCCGACGATTGCGCTCCAGCGCACAGTTCCCCCTACCAGTGGCAGCAGCGGGGTTGGGGCGCGGAGGGGGGTAGCCGACGTCGGATGGCAGCTCGGGCAGCAGAAGGGAAGCCGCTCGCGACGGGAGGAGGGATGCAGGCATGAACATGAGAGGACGGGGGGAGGTGGAGAGAGGGGAAAGCGATGGGGAGGGTACACATTGTTCATGTCTAAGTATTCGAAGGTTTTTTTTGTGTGGGGGGGGGCCAAGATCCTTTCATGTCTGATTGTTCTATCCTGGGCCTCTTCCGGTCCACTAGGGGGGGGCCAGGAACTATCAGACACGAGCGCCATGAGACATGAACACGAGCAGAAACGAGCGACGTGTGCGCGGAGGAGGGCGAGCAGGGGTGATTCTTCAGGATGCCTGGGGCCCTCTTGGGAGGCCGCACGAGGCCCTCTCGGAGCGCCCTCGGAGCTCCATGTCTGGGGGGCCCCCCCCGAAGCGTCCCGGGAGCCACCGCCGCGCCCGAGCATGCTGCCGCTCCCGCACCGGCCGGGCGTCGCTCGCTGTCCTCCGGCCGCAGCGCCCGGGCGTGGGCTTCGCTCAGGCCCGTGGCAGGTTGCGGCCTGGCGCACTGTGGAGGTCGACTCGAAGTGGAGAGGACGCAGGCTGCCAAGTAATTCCCAGCTGTCTGAAAGATGTGCCAGACATGTTTGAATATGGAAGTCGATTCAGTGGAGAGGAAGCGTGCTGCCAAGTAATTTCCAGATGTCCAAAAGATGTGCCAAGCGTGTTTAGACATGTCTCTCCCTTTTTTATTTTAAAAAATGCTTGAAACGTTTGTAGAACATGTTTTTCACATTTTAGTGTTAGAGTGTCCATTGTCATGGCATCCACAAACATAGCGCATTGTACAGTCCAACGACATCATGAGGATGAGCGTGTCTCCTGTGGTACCCTCACCCCCTTGCCCCTCGTCCGATCCGAGCCCTCGGCCATGGCCACGAGCTTCCGGCTTCGGCGCCAGTCTGGGCGTCCGAGCACCTTGCATTCTTGTTGCGCGTCCTTCTGAGCAGGACGCGCTGTGCCTCCCAGTCCTCCCAGTCCTCGTTCTCCCGATGCCTGTCTTGCAGCCGCTGCTGTTGCTGGCAGTGCTGCCGCCCGTCCGTGCCTGCAGGCCTCTCTCATTGATCCTGGCCCACCAGGAGCCGCACCTCCGGTCCCAGTCGTCCTGTGTTACCACCGTCTCATGTCCAGACGTTCCGCGTAACCCCACCAGCATGCTCCGCGGCTATCGGCTGCTCCCCCCATCTTTCTTCGACGATTCGTGGGCTTCAGAGGCGACGCTGCACAGTCGATCGCGGGCCCTCGACGGATAGTGGCGAGCACTTGTTGCTCCGTGAGTGAGTTCGCCCCCCCCCTTTTTCTCTTCGCTCTCTGCCCCGCCCTGCTCTTTCCTGCTCCTGCCGCTTCCCTGGCTACGTCCCTAGCGGCTGCAGGGGTACAGGCCTTGTGCCCGGCGTCTGTGTCGTTCCTGCCTGCGAGCTGGCGCCTTCAGGGCGACTCGTCGTAGCTTCCGCTGGCTATCGCCCAGTGGTTCTTTGCATGTGCACTTTGGCATCGAGCTGTTGGGCCGCGTGGCATCGGCCTACGCGTCCTGCTGCTCGGCCTTAATTTCCTGGCCCGTCTGGCTTCCTGTCGAGCTGGCGCCGTCAGGGCGCTTCTCGTCGGCTTCCGCTGGCATTCGCCCAGTGGTCTTCTGCACCCCTAATTATCTGGCTTGGCCCCGCTGGCACTCGCCCAGTGGTCTTCTGCATATTAAATTATCTGGTTTTGCGCCCCACTGCCCATTGACACGCCCTCTAGACTTTTCCTTGCGGGCCGCAAATTGAAAAAAATAACCCCACCAGCCCATCCAGGCACGATGCCCAGACGAGTTGCCCTGGTCAGGGATGTGGAGGATAATGTGGTGGAATGCGGGCCTGGGTAAGACGTCCTACCCCAAGGGGGGGAGGATGGAGGAGGAACCGGAAAAGGAACAGGCGAAGACCGAGGAGTAGGGAGAGGGGGAGGTGGAGGAAGGAGGAGGCAGGAGGGGGAGCAGGCAGATGACGAAGAGGAGGAGGAGGAGGAGGAGGAGGAGGAGGAGGAGGAGGAGGGCGAGCAGAAAGGCCAAAGGCCTCTTGGATGCCTCTCGGAGTCTCTTCGGATTTCTTTCGAGAGTTTCTTGGAGTCATCGTGGGGCGTCTTGGGGGTCTCTTGGCAGTCTTGGGGGCTTCTTGAAGCGTCCTGGGTGACTCTTGGGGGCCTCTTGGGAGTCTCTCGTGAGTTTCTTAGGGGCATTTTGTGGGCCTTTTGGGGCTTCCAGGGTACCTGTACCTCTCGGGGCCGCCTTGGGGCACCCTTGGTAGCCTCGGGGGCCATACTGGTGTCATCTTGGACGAGATCGATCAAAGGATGGGGATCCTTATGTCCCCCTCCCGTGAGGCCAACATGTGGCCAACGCCGTAATACAGACAATGCTGTTGGCCTGTCTCACCGAGGCCTCTCTGGGCGTCTTGGATGCCTCTGGGTGGGCTTCTTGTGGGTCTCGGGGCATTTTGGGGGCCTCTTGAGGTTTTTTGGGGCCTCCTTGGCACGTTTCGGGGCACCCTTGTGAGCCTCGGGGGCCAGCTTGGAGGAGATCCATCAAAGGAGGGGGGATCCCTGATTCAGTACGAAGGATTGTGGGGTGGCGGTTTTGGGGGGCGCGGGAAGGAAGGGGAAAACGAGGAGGGGGGAGGCGAAGGAGGCTCCTCCTCCTCCTCCTCCTCCTCCTCCTCCTCCTCCTCCACGAGGAGGGAAGAGGCGAAGGAGGAGGGGACGACGAGGGGAGCACGGAGGCGGAGAAGGAAAGGGAGCAAGGGATAGGAGGAGACGGAGGTGAAAGCACAGAGTTTCCAACCCACTTCCCCCCTCGTGGACGGCCAGGGCTGGACCCAAACGGTGTTTTTGGTGATTTCGTGGGTTTTTTTCGTTTCTATTTAGTTTTGCGGTAAAGGCGGATTGGAAACAAAACCACGGAAAACGAAGACATAACGAACATGAAAAACACCGTTTAGGTTCAGCCCCGTGGACGGCAGTGAATCACATTCCTCCTGTGGCGCCTCCCGGGGTGGGGGAGAAACAAAACAAAACAAACAAAAGGGGCGAGAGGGACAGAGAACCGAGGCCGCCGCGAAGGGACAGGAGGAGGCGGAGGAGAAGGGACGGAGCTCCCTCCCCCCTCTTCCCCCTCGCGGACGGCAGTGAGCCACACTCCTCCTGTGGCGCCTCTTTGGGGGGGAAGAAGAGAAGTCGCGTCGAGGCTGGGCCCGCGCTAACGCAGGGCACAACCGTCGACTGGCGCAGGCCCAGGCCAGGCGGTGGGGTGAGCGCGAGTCGGCGTCGCGGAGCCGAGCAACCTCGCCGACGCCTCCCCCAAGCCTGGCGCTGGGTCAGCCCAGCCTCGACACAACTAGCAGCCACTGCGACGCCAGTGCGCTCGCGCAGCAGGGTCGGGCGGGTGGGGAAAAACGCATCCCGCCAGCGGGACGGCCACGCGTGAGACAAATCCCATTCACCTGCGACGAGAACGCGCTCGCGGGCGCGCAGGGTGGGGATCCGCCTCAGCCGTGAATAGCCGTCCCGCAGCATTAGAGACAAGCAAGAAGATAGCCAATAGGGGCCACGACGCTCGCGCGACTTCTCCCCGCGCTCAAATGCTGCCCAGAGCGCCCATGAGAAGTCGCGTCGAGGCTGGGCCCGCGCTAACGCAGGGCACAACCGTCGACTGGCGCAGGCCCAGGCCAGGCGGTGGGGTGAGCGCGAGTCGGCGTCGCGGAGCCGAGCAACCTCGCCGACGCCTCCCGATGCATGCTCGGCGGAACGACGCCCAAGCGCGCTCTAAGCAGACCGCAGATGCCTGGTCTGCTTGACTCACGGCCTGGGCGGCCCCTGCACCGCTTCCGCGGCGATCGGCGCGTCCTGCGCGCCACGCGCCGCCGCGGAGCCCCGACCCCGATGCCTGCAGGGCGGCGCCTCGTCGGAATCGGAGTGCGCGATCTCGGCTTCTGCCGCCAGCACCATGGCTCGCGTCTTTGCGGCCGGGTACCTGTGCGCCGCCAAGCGCCGCGCCCTCGCGACCCAGGCAGCGCGGCCGTGCCCCCTGTCGGAATGGAGTGCCCGAGCGCGGACACAGATCTCCAACCCCCTTCGAAGAACAGCGCTGCTGGCCCCCCGGTGCGGAGTGCCTGCGTGCGAGAGACACGAACTGCGCGCGGGCCCTGGGCAGGCAGGGGGCGGCAGGGGGAGCCCATGCCTGGTCGGCCCGGCCGCGCCTGAAGCAATGCGTCCCCCACTCCAATGCCCTATGGAGCCCGAGGTGGGCAGCGGCGAGCTTGACGCAAGCCAGCCCGCCCACGTAAGAGACGCCTGGCAGGAGCTGCTCGCCGGGCCGGAGCGAATGCCGAATGATGCAGACCGCGCACAATCGTTTGCCCTGGAGCTGGCATACGCATACCCTCCAGACCTCGCGATGCGGGGAGCCCGGGGCGCGCCCCGCCGCGCGCGCGCTCGGCCCGCCGGGTCGGGAGCCACTCTCCCCTTCCGCTGGCGGAATTGCACCTGCACCCGGTGCTTTCCTTCGTCTACGTGGAGCGAGACGGCACTATGCCCAGGCGCATTCAGCCCCACTACTTCGGAGCCGAAGCG